GTCCTCTGTTAAATTAAAGCTCTCTGGATTTCACAACTTGAACTTCTAGAATCTTGCATTTTACACAAGGAGGCAGTTTATTCGAATGTTTCTGATCATTCTAAAACAATGGGGTGTAAGAATATACATTGCTTTGTATAGCAACTTAGGGTTTATGAAGGGTTTTCATATATGTTACATGTTTTACCCTAATGACTCTACAGAACAGGTTTTATCATCCCTATTGCACATCAGCAAATTCAGTTGAAAAAGCCTTAAACTTTATAATAAAGCATTCTTTTTGAAAAACAACTGTATGCATACCGAAATTCAGCAGAGTCACCCAGACCTAGCACGTGCAAATCATTGGCTTCTCTTGCCACCAACAGTGCCTCGTTGATGAAGAAATACTGTTGATTTGGGGAGAACTGATTCATATAAAAAATTGAATAAGGTTGAAATGTCACGCAGCTGGCTGACTCTGAGGTCAGAGTTTCAGTGCAGCAGGACTCATGGAATTAAGCAGGGTTTTATATTATCCATGTAAAAAGTCAGGACCTTTGTGAACTATTTTGCTCCTTACCTTTTCCTTTCAGGATAGCTCCCTGCTGCTAGCTGCTGTTGGCCAAGACTCCAGAGCAGCCATGATGCTTTCAGGGTAACCCAACCAGAAGAAAATGAATACCCCACAAATTCTCAGCAGACTAGGCAATATTTTAGGTATTGGGGATAACATGATTCATAGGAAGTGTCCTTGCCCAAAGAATATAACATTATGGTGGAGGGCAGAGAGGTTGTTTGCTTCAATTAAGTCTTTTAATGCAGTGGGATCAGGCTGTGATGGGGTGACCGGTCTGCCTGAGTGAAGGATGAGCAGTGAGCCTGTTTGAGGGGGCATGTCCAAAAGAGAACTCAGCATAAAAGAACAAGGAGATTACCAGTACTTCAGGATTTCTAGAAGGCATCATCTGAACTGAGAGACCCAGTAATGGAGAACACTCTTTTTCATTATTGAAAAGCTTGGCTTTTATGCTGCTGAGCACCTCGATCCACGGGGTCACATTTGTGTTCAGCTCATCCCACTGTCTGTGCAGAAGGGTTGGGAGGGGTTGAACGTGGAGGGAGTGAGATAAGCTAGGAGCCTTCTGAAGAGTCCAGATAAGGGACGTTGAGCCTCAGTAAGCAGAGGAAGGAGGAGTGGAAGGGAAAAGGCAAAACAGAAAAACACTGAGAAGGTAGAGTCATAACTTGATGATTAGACACAGAGCATGAGAAAGGAAAACATGTCCCAGATGACTTCATTATTTTTGGCCCAAAGGAGGATACTATAAACCCTTATAGGGAATGTTCCAGAAAGGACATTTTAAAAGAAGGCAGTAAGTTGAGTTTTAGAATGTTGTGTGAGAGGTGTTTATGGAACACCTGTAGAAGAAAATGTTCCATAGACAAAGAAAGCCATTTGTAGCCCCAAACTAGAAATGCAGGTTCTGCTCTGGTTTTCATAATTCTTTTCCTCTTGCTACCACTTTAAATCAGTGTTTCTTATGGGCTTCATCATGACCAACTTTGAGAATGAGGAAAGCAGCAGATTCCCTGGGGGTGGAAGAACACATTTGTGCATGTTCATGAGATGCGACACACCATTTCAGGTAGTTCAAAGAACTCCAGGCTCATAATCTTTACTTTAAATAGGACATGGAGCTTTCAAACTCCATACAAATCTCTGAGCTTCCAAGTCCTATACTGAGAGACTGTCAAGGGTCCTCTGCTGCTATTGTGTGATTGGAGGAGTCCAGTTACAGCCACATGGTTTGTTATCAACACAAGTCAATAGAGGATCAGCCAACAACGGCAGTACCCAGAAACTGTAGCACACAGGCTCATTTTAACTTTTCTATTCACTACTCAATATCTTTTTACTGTGACCCCATTTTTTGCCTGTGTCATAAACTCCTCCCCAGATTCTCCTTCAAGGCAGAGCTAGTAAAACACGTGTTCAGATTCTGTTACTATTTATTGAGGAACTTGTGGTCTTTCTTGTTATAATTTGTTATTGTCATACAGTGAGGATCCTATAGTGAGGACAACCAGCTCTATCCTCCGCTGTATCCTCTGCTCAAGTTGATCAGACTCTGTCTGTGCCCAGAACTCAAGTCACTTTCATTTTTACAAGAATATAAACATTCTGTAGTTTTCATATCTATATTTTGACTGTTTTTCTACAAGCTCTGGTACCCGTTCCTCTGAAATACACCTTTTCACACATTTTGTTCTCCCAGTGAACCTCGTTGACATTCCTATCCTCTAATGCAGTAGCCCTTCACATCAACAGAGTACACCCCAAAATACAAAGGTGTACTAAAGAATCCTCTCATTTAGTATTTATGGAGTACTTGCTATATATGAGGTCTCCATGGAGGAATCCAGTCTAATGAATGAAGCAAGTGTGGATTTATAAATTATACAGTGTTATGATCATTGTGTTAGTAGAGGTGTGGGACCTAGGAGGTCATATTGTGCAGCTATACTATCCCTTGTCTGATGGGCTGAGGCATTTCAGCCGCTTTCCAGTGAGCATTTGTTGTACGCCTCCTGAGCAAACTGCAAGGTGCCGTGGAGGTAGATACTCAGACAAATCTTGAACTTGAGAAACCTTCACAGCTTAACAAAGGCAGACAAAATAAGCTACAGTGGAAGCTAGATGTGATACATGCCATAAATGTGAAGAAAAGCGAAGTGGAAACACTCATTGAATACCCAGTATGTGTCAAGAAATATTTTAGGTACTTTCATTTACATTTTCTAATTGAATATTCTAAATTATGTTTTGAAGTAAGTATAATCCCCATTTTACAGAGGAGGAAATTAAGGCTCAGAGATGATAAGCAAATTACCATAGATCTCCTTGTTTCTAATGCTCATGTACTTCCACTCTATATAGCTAAAGAACCTCAGGAAATATATTAAAATAATAAAGTGAGAAAGAATATGACCCACTTAGTTACTACCTAGTGTTCCAGTTTTCTCTTAACTTCATATATCTCTTTCCCCCTGCCCATTATGGTTAAGCATATACCCTGGAACATCCGTAGGGTTTGTCCCTTACCAGCTCTAACTATTATTAATATCCTGGTAATTTAAAAAAGATCCCTTTGGATGTGGCTCAGAAACTGTCTCCTATTTTCCTCCCATGATTTACCCAATCCCTGATAGCATTAATATTAGAGATAATTAAGTGTGCTGCCTTTTACAGGATGATTGTCCATGGGCATGCCATCTTTTTTTATAAAGCATGGACATTTTTTTAAAAGATTTATTTATTCATTTTAGAAAGAAAGAGAGAGAGAGTGGGGGGGGAGGGGCAGAGAGAGAGAATCTTAAGCAGACTCTGCACTGAGCACAGAGTGGGCTCAATCCCACAACCCTGAGATCATGACCTGGGCCAAAACTGAGAGTCGGATGCTCAACCGACTAAGCCATCCAGGTGTCCCAAAGCATGAACATTTTTAATAAGATATAAACATGGCAGGCACCTTTTCTTGTAATTCCTGGCCTCGTATGTCCTTTTTAACAGAATTGCTAACAAACCCACCAGTCTGGTTTCCTTTACTGGATGGGAATTATTACAGCTCAGCTACATTTATCCAATATCATAGAAATTGCTGAGTATACTCCCTAAATGACCCAAATTTTATCCCCCTTTCAATTTAACACTTTAAATAAATACCAGCAAGCTTCAGTGCATTGGAAAATTACTATATGTCTGAAACAATTTGGATATCAGTATTTGTCACACAACCTTCCTAGGTGTAACATCTGAAGCAATAGTCACTTAACTTGCTTGCATTCTCTGTGTGGTATTTACCCAATAGTCATCACTCACGTGTGTTCATTAGGTCTTGGGGTGATGAGCTAAGCCACTATATTCTCAGCTGGGCCTGGAGCCTGTTTAGTTTGTCACTGATTAATGATGTGCAGGGAGTGAGCAGTTTGCAGAGCTACCTTAGAAACCCGGTTAGCCAAAGACAAATAGCTGTAAGTTGGCTGATGGGAACATGGGAGGTGGGCTCTTGAGAAAGGGGAGTCATTTCAAAACACCAGTGTGACTTTTGGTTATCCTAACTAGGGGAGGGACAGGTTCTGTAGTAGATGATGCTTTTGGGTCTGGTTTCTTGATATGCACCCCAGGATAAGGTGTAAGGCATGTCACTGATGTTTTCATCCAACCACATCATTTCTCTATGCCTCAGTTCTCACCATTTATAAACTTGCTTACCAGAGCCTACCTGCTTCCCAGTCACCTTCAAACAAAATGGCTTTCTATCCGTAAAGTATCTTTTGAGATGTTCTTTTTGAAGATCTTATGCAAAAAGAGCAAGCATGTATAGCTTTACTTTTTTTGTACCAAATGAATCTTATACTGAAGGGAAAAAAAAAAAGCTTTAAGTATAGTGTTTATCTTGACTTATGTACTTCCTATCTCTTGTTTTTCCTTCTCATTCCATTCACCTCTTGCGCCATGTTGGTTTGGCATCCATTCTTTATTCCAATTTTCTCCTTTTTGCCTCTTTCTGTTCTTTGGGTGGGGCAATGAGGAGAGATATGTTGATCTTGAAGTTGTAGAGAAAATGTCTCAGCTTCAATTGGGGTGCTGTCCTTTTAGTGTCATACCAAAACTGGGCACAACACATTTTTGTAGTCCTTTCCAGAATAGACTCTTTCTCCTTATTACTGACAGGGAACTGAAAACATATCTAAATTTCCCTTGGCAACTCCCAGCTAAAGACTTTATGAATATCTATTTCATAAAGACAAATGACACCTTGTTAAGAGGGCATTTTTTTTCACTAACCCATCCAGAGTGCTCAATTCAAAATTTACAAGGATGCCCATATCCATTGGGGATGGGGAGAAAAAAACAGAGAGGTGGGAAGATGTGCTGAGGGTTACACAGGAGGCAGCACAAGAAGAAAGATGCTGCTTGGCAAATATTCTTTTAACCCTTGTATCACACTGTAAAGTCTATACTGTAATTTCCAGTTTATTGGGTGAGCTCAGGCTTAGAGAGGTTCAGGAATTTGCCCCAGAACACATAGATGGTAATAATGAGAATGCCAAGAATCAAACCCAATTCTGACTCCAGTGCTTGCTATTTTCCTTTGACCTTTCCCTAAATTCAAAGTGATCTTGAGCAATTGCCTTTCTATTGACTTGGGAAGCCCTAACCCCCTCACTCCTCTTTTCAGATCTAAAGTGTACCCATCCTGCAGGACCCCACCCATAACGTGCTTTTATCCTACAGTGTTTTCTATTCCCCCAACTGGAAGTGGTCTCCCTTCCCTTGAACCACAGAGAACACGGGAATCACCATTTGACATCATTGGCTCAGAGTAAATAGCATGAAGCAGGTAGGAGTCAGGAGCTTTGGGGTCAAATCCCTGCTCTTCCAGTATCTAGTGTGTGATTTTCATTAAATCACTTAATTTTATCTTGGCATATGCTGCAATCTGACCCCTAAAGTCCCACCCAGGCGAAAATGTTAAGATTCTGAAGTTGTATTATATATATAATTTCTTATATGCGTTGAGTCCTGTAAGTCTTTTTATTCACTTAGTCATTAATTCATTTATTACTGAGCATTGAATTTCAGCATTCATCTCAGAAGCACCAAGATCTTCTAGAGGCCTCACCTCCCCTTTTAGACAGTCGAGTTATTGGTTTGGAATGAAGTCCTTGAGGGCAAGGACTTTTCGTTTTTTTTTTATAACCGAAGCAGATAAAACAGAAGGAAAAGTCACTTTGACAAGATGAGATCTCAGAAAAAAGAAGTTTGGGCAAATACCAATAAGCACTTCGTTAACATTTTCAGTGTCTGAGTTTTTTCAGCATCTCATCAATCCTTGTGCACCTGTACATACAATCCTGTAGTTACCAACCTGCCAAAAAAAGGTGGGGGATGGTTACCAATTAATTGAAGTCACCAGATTCCAAGTTTGGTTTCCCAGGACTATGATCTTCCATGCCACCTATAGTAACATTTGTCCCGTTTGGCTCCCGCAAGTCCTCAGACATTCATTTTAGCAGACGGCAGTTCTGCTTATCCCATCAGCAGACACCATTTTGCAAAGTAGATGTCATCTTCCTTCCCCCAAAGTCTCAGCAAATTCCTTGGACCCCATTTTTATTTGTCAGATGTTCATGCTAATTCCCAGATGCCCTTATAACAATAATAATAAAAGTAAAATTCTCACCTGGATTTTATTTATAAACACTTTGTGAGTTTGCTTACTACTTGAGTACTTACTAGTTAGCAGGAGCTATCAGTTACTTGCTCATCTTTCCACCAACTTAGTGCGGTAGCATTTGTTAACTGTAGGTTAAAGTTACAAACATCTTTTCATTCAACTCTCATATTCTGAAATCAGCTTCACCTTGGTATTTCCATTTTAATAATTTAAAGCATAGGCTTTCTTTTTTTAAATATTTTTTTAAGAGAGAGAGAGCGAGAAGGCACGTGAGCAGGTGGGGGTAGGGGCAGAGAGGGAGAGAGAGAACCTTAAGCAGTCTCCACACCCAGCATGGAGTCCAATGCGGGGCTTGATCTCAGGACCCTGAGATCATGACCTGAGCTGAAATCAATAGTTAAACACGTAACCGACTGAGCCACCCAGGCTCCCCTAAAGCATAGGCTTTCTAAATTCAGAACTTGGGCGCCTGGGTGGCTCAGTTGGTTGGGCGACTGCCTTGGGCTCAGGTCATGATCCTGGAGTCCTGGGATCGAGTCCCGCATCGTCAGCAGGGAGTCTGCTTCTCCCTCAGATCCTCCCCCCTCTCATGCTCTCTCTCTCTATCTCATTCTTTCTCTCAAATAAATAAATAAAGTCTTTTAAAAATAAATAAATAAATAAATAAATAAATAAATAAATAAATAAATAAATAAATTCTGAACTTGGGTTCAAGTCTCTCCCCTGTCATTTATCAGCGTAAATTCTCTGTGGTTTCTGGAGCTGAAAGAAATGGAGGGTCCCTACGTGGTAAGATTGTTGTGAAGATACAATGAGATTAAAGATACCAAGCTTAACGTATTGAATGGAGCACTGGGTGTTACGCACAAACAATGAATCATGGAACACTACATCAAAAACTAATGATGTAATGTATGGTGATTAACATGACATAATAAAATAAAATTTTTAAAAATATTAATTTTTTCTTTATAGATCTTACTTTTTAGTAAACACAATCTTCTCAAATAAAATTTGTTTGTACTTCATAAAAAAAAAAAAGATACCAAGCTTAAAGCACTGTACCTCCACTTAGTAAACCACCAGAAAGCGCAAAGAGTCACCATTCCATTGCCTCTGATAAAGAAAAGGTATTTTATGGGTACCCATCCCATTTGACTCTTATGACTATACCTGACTAGGTGAGGGAGAGGGTGGATATTAAATTTGTTTTCAGTTTAAAAATATATTTTCTAATTCAAGAATGCATGGTGGGATGTATGGTGAGATCCAACATAACATGTATACATTTCTTAAGTGAGAAATTGAAAACTGCCATAGGTATAGTCTAATGTGTTTTTGTTTTTGTTTTTTGAACCTTGCTTTGCTTGTACCACTTTACAAGACTCGGGCCTTTTCTCCCCGCTTCTATCACTTCCTTTAAAAAAAAAAAAACAGAACAAAACTTAACAGAACATTGACTCTTCAATATATCTGAACTCTAATACAAATTATATCCTCTTGGAAATCATTTCATTTGTCTTTAATAAATAAGTAGCAAGAGGATTTGTGTTACAGAAACAGATATTACTTCCCCCAGATCCTCAGCTAATTTCACCGTAATTATAATTCTAGGAAAGTTCCTCAAACATTGATTATAGGCAGAAAATTTTTCCAGAGTTATGAAAATCATGGAAATTTGAAAAGAAGGAAAAAGGTGATTGTGTTCAACATCACAAGGTTTATAATTTGACCTAGGAGACCCATGTCTGCCCACTATTTCACCATGTTAGCAAGCATGTGTCAGCTCTGAGTGTCTGGCACTATTCTAGGACCAATGATTACATTCTTACCATGGACAGTACACCATTTCCAGAGGTGTTAGTATTGGTTTCGATCGCCAAGATGGTGAGTTGGATAGAAAGACTGTGTAGTTATTGAACAACTTTGGCAAGTACGTAAAATTGAACATAGGTAAAGGCCCTGGAAGGACTTGGGCCAATCCTCAAAGAAATTGGGCCTTGGGACTTTTAAGAAACTCTAATCCAAAGTTACTGGGCAGTTGAATGTGTTAGGTAAGATTAACTATTGGTATTCAATATCGATTTCTTTAGAGATGGAGGATGGGTGCCATCATGAATGCCAGATTCACTGGTTGGTGGTGATTACCTGCAGGCAAATTCTTCGTTCAGCAGAAGAAAAAAAAAATGCCCTGATAGATTAGTGATGCCCACCATTGACATGGGAGATATTGACATATGCCGCGCAATTACCTTCTATGGGTTTCCTCCAAAGGACACATCGGTAGACAAGGGACCACATTCAGGTGAAGCGTGGTAGATGCAGTGGATTTTTGGAAACTGTGGGAACAGCTATATTCCTCCAGCTGTGAAGGTATAGAAAATGAGCAAAAAAAGGAAGGGGTATTGAGTGGAGAAACACAGGAGCCATTTCAGACCTTCTTTGGGCTCATGGGCTCCAAACCACCAAGTGACTGTTGGGATTTTGCAGAATCAGAGCAGTCTGGGCTGTTTTAATTGTCTGAAATTTGTGCTGTGGTGGTTGACAGGTTCTCCTTTAAAGATAATAAATGGCTCACAATTACCTTAGTTTAGAAAGTGCTCTTCTGCCCTGGGACACTGTAATAACCAGCTATGGAAAAGAAAAGGCCTGGGGATTTATGAGGTGTCCCAATTTACAACCATCTGGGAAAAATACAGCAGAACGTTGGTATAGCAGTGTGTTAACCAGAGTTAATCTATCATTACTACTATTATAAACCCTCTCTTTCCTTCTGCTTAAAACTATCACAGGGATTCATCCCTGGCCTTCACAAAGACCTACCAGAAATCATTTTTTTTAACATGCAACTCAGAAGTACAGTCTGATTGACCTTTGCTTTACTGGACTGAGTGGGAAATTTTCCAGGTATGAGGGATTTTAAAACCCCCTAGAGATAAAAAGATAAATGAGGTATAGTGTCTTCTTTCTGCAAGCTCAAGGTCCTACTGGGAGACCAGTAGTGAATATATAATTTCAGTACACTCTGAGAAGTGCCATTGTTGAAACAATAGGGTAGAAATACAATAGAAATATATTTGTATGTGCAAAAAAACTCATGTGCTTAATAATCACTTTGATTTCCCTGCCCCAAAATTATATTGTTAGCCCATACCTATAACAGGACTTACTAAAGTCCAACGTTATTATTTGTTTACGCACCTACCTCCCACTAAGGGCAAGTTTTGCAAGGTGGGCACTGGGTCTGGCTCTTTGTATTCCCAGCACCTCACCCAGGGATCAGCCCATATTAAGTGTCTAATAAATGTTAGCTGACCAAGTACAGGACTGTATACTTCTAAAGCTTGTAATACCAGGAATTGACAATTTATTAGGTAAAATTTAAAAAATCAAAATATATTTACTCTTAAGATATTCTGTTGATGATTCAGCTGAATTTATTTGGAAATTAAAATGCATACCACGGTGTTTTAAATTTCCCAGCAGAGAATGGTCTACTCAAAATGTCACACTGTTAGTTGGATGAGTAGTGAAAAGGGGAGAGTATTTGGAGAAGGGTAAAAAGAACACTCCTTCCCCATATATATCACAGAATAGAGGCCAATGGGCCCTGCTAAATTTTAAGCCCCACTGGGTGGCCAACTCCCCTGCCCCATCTGTCTGCTGAGGAGCATCCACCAACACTTCCATTTTGGTGGCACTGTCCTTCCGGAGTGACTCACTGGAGCAATGATTCTGATCTCCCTGGGGTTCAGCAGCATTGCCTCATAGCTGAGCTAGTTTATGGGAGCCATACCTCGTTTTTCCCACCCTGGATCCCCTGTGGTCTTGCCTGAGCAGTCTGCTTATGAAAAGTTTATTAAGTCTCCTTTCCAGTGGGGCAGATTGTCCCATTTCATTTGTCACTATTTAATAGGTTATGCAAAACATGCTGGGAAATCTCAATGTGCAGAGCTTCTAGTTTCACCTCCATGTGAGACAGTAGACATTTCATTTATTTCTTAATGGCAACTAATTTCAGAGTAGTTTGAGGCTAATTTATCAGTGCCCACTGATATTCCTAATCTCCGTCTTCCTTTAGTCTATTCAGTCACTCTACAAATATTTATGGAACTGATCCTGGACACACAGAGATGAATTAGGTAAAATCCCACCATCCACAGAGGTTGAGACACACCAGGGTAGATCAACACATGAGTAGACATTAATTACCATTCACTCCTTTCCTTCACACCTTACAATGAATGAACGAAGAAGGGACAGCGGGTCGATCCCAGATTTGTTGGTAGACAGCCCATAATGTTTAAAGGGATATCTGTGGTTGCCATTTATCCATTAACAAGTACAACTGGGAATTGCTCATCATTTAGCAGTATGTATTCTGGCCTCATGATTATGTAACTTAAAAAAGGAAAATCCTTTGAGGCTCAGTTATTTCTCCAGAGAAATTCCTCCTCTGCTTTTGGGGCCCTCCCAGAAGAGTCAATCCACCACCACTCTTAGTCATGGCAGCCACAGCTGCAAGAGAACAATACCTCAGTAGTGATTCTAGTTTGGGAGACTTTCCCATTGGGAAGGTCATTCTTTGTAACTTTCGGAAGACTTGCAAAAGACTTTGCTTTCAACATCCATGCTTGACAAAGTATGGCTGACTTTGGTGAACAAGCATTAAAAAACCAACAGTAGCATAATTACTTAAAAAAAATCTTAGCTATAATTTAAATAAATAAATAAATAAATAAATAAATAAATAAATAAATAAACTCTCATTAAAAAAAAATCTTAGCCATTTCTCCCAACCCTATGGGAAAACAGTTTCTCAACTTTTGTACGTAAACCAGCCCCATTGGTTTCTGTCTCTTTCTCCACACATAGTCACATGTTTTGACTGACTTACTTGACATGTTGTTTATTCAAAGCTGTAGATTAAATGTCACCCACTAATGTGATTTGCTCAGACTTTGCTTGCCTGAGGCTGACTCCATCAGACGCTGGTGAAAATAGCTCCCTCTTGTCAACCAAGGTCTTCAATTAGCTGACCAGCAAATCTGCCCTGATTACTGTATTAATTTGGCTCCCTATCTGCAGTGGAGAAAGGAAGTTTGGTCACACCACTATTTGCCTCTTCATTGCTATCCCTTCAAGGGCAGGCTGCACAGAGAAGGTCGTGATCCCAAACTTCACCTTTGTTTCTCCTCTTCTGGAAGTGGCTTCCTGCGGCAGCTGAAGAAAGTGAGAAGTGTGTTGCTCCCATATCCATTGTTCTTCAGGAGACCCCATGCTAAGTGATTTTGAGATGACTTGCCAGTTGAAAGGTTTATTTTTTTTACTGGCCTTAAAAATGCCTTAAGTCTTAAGTTCAATGGCTTCTCATGAGGAACAGGACAGCTGTTAGTGTCTTGCGTCTCAGTCTTTGGAAGGTGAAATCACCCAGTTAGCCCCTGCATAGGACTGCGGGGTCAGGCATTGTCTAACAAGTTATTTGGGGGACTAACGCCAAGGCCCTCAAAGCTCTCGGTTTGGATTATGATCAGATTCTCAAGATGCTTGAAGCTGCATGAGCATCTTTCTATCTCCTGCCGTCCAACTCCTATTTTATTAGCAGCTAAAACCAGAGGAAGTTCTCCGAGCAAGGGAACAGTGCTGTGCAGCCAGCTCCCTTTCTAATGGCTCCAGTGTCATCTGCTTTGCTCTCAGGGGATGTTTGAAAAATCATCTTTCATACTCTCTAATACTAGTCCTCCATCAGGTTCCCCAGGCCCATGTGGACACTGCCGGCTGCAGTGCCTGCTTGGATTGGCACATAAGCTACTGCCCTGTGTCAGAGAACACAGATGTTAATTGCTGCCCAGAGAATTGTGGGCTCACTGGGAAGACGGGGGCTGTCCTTGCTAGAGGGGGTTCCTACATAGCGCTTGAGCCAGGCAGGCAGATGCCCACACCACAGTGGCTTTGGCTGCCTCCATGGTAAGCAGAGTGGTCTGTCTCCTGAGTAAAGGTGGCTTCTCAAAGCATGCGCAGAGCCAGCATGGTCCGCTGACCAGATGGGAAGACTAATCCTGCCCACACTATAGCTCATATCTGAAGACCAAGCCTTGGGGGAGCTACAGGCAATAACAAGTTGAGGGCCTGCTTCCTCATCTGTAGGTTGCATTGGGCAGTTTAATGAGGGAGAGGAGCCTGCCCCTTCTCTCTTTTCCTTGGAAGGGCAGCGGTCATCGCTCCTTCCTATCTTCTTATGCCTTCTCGTTTAGACCAGTAGACCTCAAGCCCAGCTGCACATTAGCATCCCTGTGGGGCATTGTAACACGTGCCCCGTGTCCGGAACCCATTCTAGACCAAATGAATCAGAATCTCTGGGGGCTGAGGCCAGGCCAAGGGTTGCTTTAAATTTTACTGTAGACTGAGGGTTGAGAATTACTGATTTTTTAAGCTATTCCTTTCTTTTAATCACTTGATGAGTCCATTGGTCATAAGTTAAATAGATATTTTCTTTTTTTTTAAGATTTTATTTATTTATTTGACACACACACACACGCACACACACACACAGATACACACACAGGACAAGCAGGGGGAGTGGTAGGCAGAGGGAGAAGCAGGTTTCTGCTGAGCAGGGAGCCCGATGTGGGGCTCGATCCCAGGACCCTGGGATCATGACCTGAGCTGAAGGCAGAGGCTTAACAGACTGAGCCACCCAGGTGCCACTAAATAGATGTTTTCTCAGTAACTACTACACAACTGGATTGTACAGACTCTGGATATGCGATAGTCAACAAAGGACACGGTTCATGGCGTTATGGTATAATCCTGTGATGGGAGAATGGGAGACCAACACCGACTTTGGTGGGAGGGCAGCAGGTCAGAGGAGGATTCTGTTGACTTGAAGAATGAGCAGGTATTAGGAGGATTTTAGTCACAGGTGGAAGGAAAAGCACAAATGAAGGCACAGGGGTGAAGTTCAAGGCACTGAAAGGATCTCAGTGTGGCTAGAACATGGGGTGTGAGGGGTGAAGCCAAGGAGGCGCTTTTCTGCATTTCTTACTGAACAAAATGTTTCAAATTCTTCTGGTATAATTGAGGACACA